CCCCCCCCCCCCCCCCCCCTCCTTGGGGCCCAGCATGCTTGCTGGCACACCGCCTCGTGTCCGCCCCCTTCGAAACTCAGCCTCTTCGCTGGCATATCGTCCAATGTTTGGCTCTTATACCATTTGTAACAACCCAAGCCCACCATTAGCAAATATTGTCCTCTTTCGCCTTTCCTTTTTGGGCTTCCCCTCAAGGTTTTTAAAATGTGTTTGCTAGAGAGAAATTTTTACACTCAAAGAATGATTTGTTCCACCCTCTAACTGATGTTGATGTGGACCCCCCAATCCACCCCCACCCCCACCCCCTTCGGGGCCCAACATCCTTGCTGGCACATTGTCTCGTGTCCACCCCCTTCAAGGCTTAGCCTTTTCACTGGCACATCGTCCGATGTTTGGCTCTGAAACCATTTGTAAAGGTTCAAGCCTACCACTAACTGATATTGTCTTCTTTGGACTTTCCCTTTCGGGCTTCCCTTCAAAGTTTTTAAAATGTATTAGCCAGGGAGAAGTTTCCACACCCTTATAAAGAATGGTTTTGTTCCCCTCTCCAACCGATGTGGGATCTCGGTTATTCCCAACCCTACAACACTAATGAGTGAAACCAAGAAGTGTCAACCTACTATCTCTTCTATTTCTTTTGTTGTTTTTATGAGAAATAAAGAAAGATATATAGGAAAAGAACATAAAGAAGACTTATTACAAAAGAATTTTCTGTGATTATTAGCCTTCCTTCTAAAGCTCCAACCTGTAAGAGCTTCCACCAACCAACAAATAATCCTCGCATCTAATCAACATATAGATAAACCAGTCTGATTTCATACGAAGCAAATGAACAATGAAAGAGCAGATGTTCAAAGGCTAAATAGTCCAAGAAGTAAAAATAAACAAAATCTAAGGAACATTGTAATTTAGAAAGAGTATCTAAAAAAAACACTTCAAATCGCAAAAGCTCCTAAACAATTATTCTTAACACCTGAAAACAGAAACTCAAACTTCTGCGCAGTCAACCAAAATAAGAAAGTAATATATCACAGATGAGTTAGAAACAAAGGCAGCTTGGGCCTCAAAATTGGCCCAAGTCTGGAAACTTCTAATAGGCCTAAAAGGCCTATAAAAGTCCATCACAAAAAATTGATCCTTTATTTCTAGGAAAGAAGAATGTTCATGTCATTTAAGGAAATAGGATGCCCATTATAATCTAAGATCGGGAGCCACAGAGAGGACAAACCCTGGCCAACAAGATCCCGATACTTTTGGTGAAAAGCATCGGGGGTCATTTGGACCAAGGGCTTTTTTGACCAGTGCTCTTTGAGGACCTTGGAGGACATGCCAACATATGATGGAAAAAGGGAAAAGGGAAAGGGTCTCTCTCTCTATTACTTTCCAAGTCTCTAGACATCTAGGATCACTAACTTCAATTCTAAATCTTCAAGGTTGGTCAAGTACTTATTAGCCTTGGCCATCCAAATTGGGTTATTCATGCAAATGACCGCCCGTTAAGTAGATCACTGAACCTAGAAGAAATTCAAAATTTCATTATACTACACACAGATTTAATAAAAACAGCCCCTGCTTAGCCAAATCATTTTACCAAATACACCGCCCAAATTTAATTTTACTACCGTAGTTGGTTCCATAAAGGGTTTCTGGAATTTCTCAAAAATATCAAACTTACATTTCAAATGAGAATGCCATTCCAGAAAGCATATCTGCACAATTGATTCACAGCAGATTAAAACAATGTACAAAACTTCAATGAAAATGTTTGATGACAATATTCTACCCATTGATACCCAACACCATAGTTGTTTTTACACCCCCTTGGGGCAAGTCACCATGTCATTTAAAAGAGAGCAAAAACTACCCCAAGGAAGCAGCTGTTGAAAATTAATAATCAAGGCATTGCCTGGGAAAAAAAACCCCCAAGGAAGAAGCTGAATTAACTATCATCCATAATACATTGAACCAGGTCAAACATGAGGATGAGCCAACCAATGCCAAAGATACTACATTATAATTATCTCCGGAAGCTACATGTGCATCCAATATGTGAAAAAGAATGCACTAAACCAGGCTCATCAGTACAGAAAACTAGATTGTTCAGGAAAACAAAATTACAGTGAACCTAACCTCCTAGAAACATATGGGAAGGCCTGGTATCTGGATCATCCACCTCGCATATGTGCACCTAACTCACCAAACTGATCATCTGCTTCTACAGTATCGTCTGAAAGGCGGACTGCATCCAGTTTCTGTTTCAGAATATCTATGGCATTGAGTATCAACTGGGAAGCTTTTATTGCACCGGTAGATTCAACTGTGAAGATAAAACTATCTTCTTTCGCAGTGATATCCACTAGTCCAGCTTTACCCATTGCCTCTGCTTTCTTAATCACTTCATCATCATAAGTGTATGCCTCTGGATCAACCACCAGAACCTTTACAAACAGAATAAGCAGCAGCAAGTTAAACGAGTGAAATGAAAAATAAAAAATAAAAAATTCATTGGCTAAGTTTGGATCACTCGTTTTTCATACTTTCTTTAGCCATAAGTAAGCAAAGTATCTCAGAATTTGGGTATTACTACAATTAAATAAAAAAGATGAAAGCCCATCTTAAATTTTACGTCATACATGAGCAGCAGCGAGAATGAAAATTTTCTCCTAATACACCAATTACACCTGAATGAGTACTTCCTTTAAGCTGATTCTTTTCTCGAAGTGAAGATACCGCAAGATACAATGGCTTCCAGTGCTTATAAAAATGTGACAAATCCAAAAAATCATGACATTGTTAAAGAAGACCTTGCGACAGAATTCCCCAAATCTAAAGAATGGCCTTATAAATGTTAGCCTTGATGAAATTTATATAGGTCCAATTCCCAAATAGCTGAAGCAAATACAGCAAACAATTACTGCCCTATCAGCCTTGTCCCATGCATCTATACCAAAAAAAACGGTTCTTACTTCAATTTCCAAGGGAGTTCACACCATTTAGTATCTGAGCTCTATTTGCCTCAGATATTTTAACTCTTTTGGTATCAAGTTACTTGGTCCCAAGGGAATTCATATCAACCCTCAATAGGTTTATCGATGAGTAGTGTATTATGTGCATGAAAAGCTCAACTCAAAACCATGTTTTCTACTCATGCTCCAACATATACAAGTTTTATTTTTATTTATTTATTATTATTATTATTACTTTGGTTTGGTTTGGATAAGCAAAAGAGGGAAAAGAAATTTCAAGCAATGGAGTTACAAAAGACTTCCAATTGGTCACAACAGAGAAAAGAGAGACAAAAGAGTAAGGATTAAATTAGAGGGTATCACTTTACACCAAGATAGAGTAAGATAAATGATACTACCCAAAAGGTGTTCAACAGGCCTCTCCTTGTTTTGAAAGATTCATTTGTTGCGCTCAGTCCAAGTTACCCAAAAGAAAGCTTTGATGAGATTTTCCCAAAGGTACTTTCTCTTTTTTGTGTGGATGCCCTGATAACATGGATGCAAGAAGATTGCCAGGGTATGGAATCAACCAATTAAAAGCAGAAATAACGTATGTCCAGAGGGAGGCAAGAAAATCAATTAATGAGAAGGTGGTCTTGAGATCCAGCATCCCTTTTACACATAGAGCACCATTGGGGAGAGAGAACCATGTGGGGGAATGCATTGCTGGAGTTTCTCATACATGTTGATGGCAAGGTGAGCAACTTCCCATATGAAGTATTTATTTTTTTCCGGGCAGGTGGCTTCCCAAATATATTTGTAAAGCCATCAGGCAAGATTTTCCTGGTGGTGACAAAGTCCATTAGGAGAGACTTTGTAGAAAAAATGCCATCATTTTCCAATTTCCAAACTCATGGAACACAAGTAGGAGAGAGTTGGATAGGAAGGAGATTTGTGGATAAATCAGCCCATTCTGAAATTTCCTCCTCCTTGGGGTTCCTTATTAAAGATAAATCCCAAAAGCTCCTTTCAACACTCCAGATATCATGAATGGAAGCTGCCTTAATGTTTGAGATGGAGAATAATAGAGGGAACCAGTGGGCAAGTGGACCACAGGGCAACATGTCATCATGCCAAAAAGTAGTTTCTCCATTCCCAACTCTATGATGAATATGGACGAAGATGAGTCAAAGATCGGTCGAAGATGAGGTCTTGCATAAAGAGGATGACCTTCCAGGAAGCATTTTATGAGCGGACCATTAAGGATCCCAGTTTAAGATTGAAATGGGTTGACCCATATTAGCAATATTCATGTCTCCAAAGGGCTGATTTTTCAAACCAAAACTGCCAAGCCCATTTGGCAAGGAGAGCGTGGTTCTTCTGGTAGATATTTGGATGCCAAGACCACAACTGACTGTGGGAAGAATAATTTTCTCCCATCGGACCTTTATTTTCAATGTAAGCTTCATGCACTTTCTATTATGGCAGCAACCTTTTTTGGTAATGAGAACAGTGATAGTAGTAAGTGGGGAGATTTGAAAGGACACTTATAATAATGTCAGATAACCTCCCTTTGAGATATGGACAGACTCCCATGTTTACAACCTCCTCTCTATTTTTGTGGCGGAGACATTCGGCCAGCTTCCCTTTTCCAACCGAACAAAGAGGCCAAATTTTCCAGCTCCTCCTCTTCTAAGTTGATGCCCAAAATCTTGAACTTTTCAGCATTAATGTTTAGGCTTGAAGCCATCTCAAAGGATTTCACTCATGGAGAAAGTGTTGTGGATAGCACTGTCATCAAGGATGGAGAAGAGAACACTATCATCCAAAATTTGTAAACGATGGATACTGCGCTCTTCTCAAACCACTGAGAAGCCCTTTAAGTACCCATTTTCGGCAGCATGGTTCATGAGGCAAGCCTAAGACCCCTCAATATCAAAATCTTAGCACATGGGCACCCTTTAAAAATGATAGAGTAATTTGGTGAAAAATGCAGGCACTGATCTATGCTCTCCGTTGGGAGATAAATCCTTCAACTTGTAGGAGGAGATCAAGAAAGTCCCAATCCACTTTATCAAACGCTTATTTGATGTCCAGCTTAATCATAGACCCTGTCCACTTCAATCTATTCCAATAAGGCACAAGTCAAGGATCTGTCTCCTTCCACACTTCATTTAGACAAGTTTTTCTCCATCTACATGGGTTGTTTTTCTGGGTTCTTTTCTTTTTCTTTTTCTTTTTTTTTTTTTTTTTTTTTTTTTTTTTTTTTTTTTTTTTTTTTTT